AACAATGGAAAATATCACCTTGCATTCATGTATCTCAATGATGTAACAATTGTCATGTATCATGCCTTAGTTCGGAACCCGGTGGGGTCCAACTCATTCGGCAAAATTCATTATTTTCGGTTCTGACCATCGGACTTTTTCTCGCAACTGAGGCTCCTTAAAACACCCCTTTACTCTTACTAACAGGTAAAGGGTCAATACCTATAAAAAGTCTATTTTTTTGTCACTCGTACAAAGAAAGTATAAAATTACCGAATAATTTACCAACCAACACAAATCAAAATATGTCACCAAGCAAGCATTCATAACTATTTTACATTATCGTTACTTTGTTTATCTAAAAAGAGCACTTAGAGGTGTAGAAATAAATACTAAAGAATCCCTTACCATAATTGGGTTGACTTAGCCTTTCGGTAGTGAAGGAAGAGCTTCTAAAACTCAATTAAACAAATTTTCGAAATTCCAAACTTTTTTTTATTTTCTTGCTATTTACTCTTCTTAAAAGCTTCATCTTTCTTTCTCTAAAAGTCTCTCTTCTTTTTTTCTCTAAATTTTGGAAAAGGGAAGAAGGAAGAATGGTGTGGAGAAATAGAGAGGACAAGGTTTAAATAGAAAAAGAAAAAGTCATATTTGCACCACTTGGCAAAAATCAGTGAAATAGAGTAAAATTGTGGATTTTGGGCCCACCAAGCACGGCCAAAGAAAGAAAAGAAAGGCCAAAGAGTGGCCATTGACCGACGAGACAAAAGTCGTCCCATCGGTGACAACATGTTGTAGCGTTTGTGCGTGTGCCTAGTGCGCGGGGCTTGTTGTGCAGGTTGTCCACGGTTGTGGGATCGCGGCTTGTAGGTCAGGAGCCACAGGCTATGTTTCGAAACCATTTATCTCTCGTCGTTTTCTCATAAAATTTTAGTTAATTCAGATAAAAATTTGGAAAAACTAATTAAAATAAGAATGACTCATAATTCAACGAAAATTTTATATGACAGTAGGCTTGAAATATCGTAAATTTAAAATCCGTTAATTGCCAAAAAGTAGGGGTGTTACAAATTTTTTACCATGTCGCTGAAAATTCGTAAGAGATAAGATTTTTAGATATAGTGGATTTGATTTGGAGTTCTGTCCGTAGTTTTTCTCTCTACACTAGAGGGTTTTCCATGTTAAATCATATGTCCATTTTTTTAAAAGTCATTTTTTGCTAATTATTATTATTATTTTACCTCATGATTTTTTAATTTATACAATTAATTATTTTTTAAATGGGACCCAACGTTGAGTACATCAAAACCTTAGAAAACCATTTTGAAGCCACCCACTAACCAAAAAAACTTGAGAAGACTAGTGGAGGAGTAATGTGACCCCCAAGAGGTGGTGGTAGCTTCAGAGGTAGCTAAGACAACAGTCATGGTAGTCGCAACAAAAGAGGAGGATGTGGTTTTGGCAGAAAAGGTGGTAGAGGTGGTTTAACTTCGTGGAAAAGGGTGTTAATTTGGAATATTAATAGAGTTAAATTTATCATCAGTAGCAAAGGGAGAGAGATATTGGTTTTTAGTTCTTTATCTTATATTTTAGTTACGTTTTTGCTTAATTTATTTAAAATAAATAAATAGTGTAATGTATTTTTGTTATAATGGTAAAAATTATTTTTGTGTGAAAAGAGAGAAAGATACTTACG